TACTTCAGGTATCCACTCTTTTACAATTGCTTTAAGAAATAAAATCAAATTTAACCAAACCCTAAGTCACTAGCAGGGAATTTTGATCTACATATAGATGGATAGATATCACAGAACTATTATCATTTGTTAAAGACAAACAAGTTCTGTACATGCATCTCCCACATCACAAAAATTTTAACAAGGAGATGACTGAGACAAGGCTTATTGGAAGCCAGAGATAACTTCTTAATATAGAATGAAAGATAGAATTGTCAGCCAGTTTCTTTGGAAATTAAGACAAGTGATTTGTATAATATAAAATCATCATGATTTTTTTAAAAAAATGGCAACAAATTCAGAAGCTTGGTCAGAAAGGAAAATCTTGGCAAGTGCCTTGGAAAGGTGGTGCACAAAGCTAGTTTGCCTCTGTGTCAAGTGATGCAGCTGTTAGCTAGTTGAGTCATACTAGCTGTGGGCATGGAAAGATAAAGCTATATTTATGACAAACGAGGCAAAAAGGATATATAAAATGGTATGGAGCTGGAAATTCAGAAACAGGTCAGATTTGAAGGTCCTCCTAGATAAGAAGGGCAATATTGTTATACTGATAGGGGAAAGCGTCCATGGTAAAAAAAACTTGCCTTTTCTTCATAGGTTATTAAAAAAAATGCCTGCAGAATTTTATGTTACGAGAGGGCATGTACTTATAGAGGGGTTACATACTGTTCCCTTTCACTACAATAAAGAGGAGCCAAGGGTTAGTAAAACCCTGAACCTGAGTGTTGAGCATCTCTATAAGCAGTAGAGTCAAGGAACATCGGATCGAAGGGATAAAAGCAGATCAGAGGAGATGATGATCCAGCCTGTTATTGTGATGCAGCCATAGTCCAGCCTGTTAAAGCATTAGGTAAAAGCGAACTTGAACATCCTTGGGAATATTCCAGACCCTTATTTTTTTTCTAGGAGCTGGAATCTAAATTATCATCCAGAAAGATTTTTCAGAGTATAATGATTTTTCTGGCCGTAGACTAGTTGTTAATTTTAAAGCCCAAAGAAAAAGGCAGGAAAAGTCTGAAGAACTGCAAGAAACCACTGATTTCCCAGTCATAGCCTAGACTTAAAGAATGCTTTTCTTAATGCTTTTCTTAATGTCTGTGAAAACTAAGAGAAAAAAATAGGGGCAATGTTTCTCTCATGGCAAGGGAGGTTCCAAATGGTTCTTGTTACAATAGGAAGACACTAATAGGGTCTCAGCATGAAACAAGTTCATGTACAAAAGTGGGAATTGGTTCCTCTAGTACACAGAGGCAAACAGAAGGGCAGTGGATAGCTGTAAAAGTCAATAGAGAAAACATTAAATATAACATGCTATATATATTTATACATGTATAATACACTAATATATGTGTAACACCACCATACACTAAGTTTCATGCCTTCTGGTTATCCCATTAGTAGTAATAATTACTTTCCCATATCAAAATGCCTTCCCTAGGTTAGCTGCACATCTGCCCCGTTATGCTCCTTAGGAATCCTTCCCTTTTCACGTTCCAACTGCAGTAACATCAAAAGAGTTTATTGATACCAGTCTGCTAGACTAAACATTACCGTGCTTACCAAACTAAGCAGTACTTTTTCTTGGGATCAAACGGAAGAAAAAGTTGCTTGAAAGATTTAAATTCAACTTACTTCTATCCAAGACTGTTAGTAGAGAATAGAAACAACACTTTGTAACGGTGAACTCAGAGATTTTCAAGCAAATTTAGTGTACACAAACACAATACCAATTAATTGAGTATGAATTTGAGTGATTGCAGCAATATCTGCAGAAGACAAAACGTACTAAGGCTGAGAAAGCCAAGCAGGTTCCAGACAAGCACCATCCTGCCCAGGGCTGTCATCTACTGTACGAGCAATGACTAAGATCTAGACCTTTAAAGATAGGATGATACTGTCAGGCCACCACACAACTGAAGCTACATTACCTACTTGCTTTCAAAGTATTCTAATGCCTCTTGACTTTGCAGACATTTTAATACCAGGTCTCAAGCAGAAGCATTTAAAGTATTTTATATCACAAAGATAGCATGCTTTTCATTCAGAAAAGGTGTTATATTACACTACGGATGGGTTTTGTTCTTTCCTTGTATTCCAGCAGAAAAAAAGCAGTATGTAATCCTGCACAATGCCTGATTTAAACACAATAGGACACTTGACTTGCATATTTTGGAAGTGCAAAGTTGTCCAGGTGTTCGGATATTGAAGTGGAACATGCCAAACAGCACATATAAGACTGACTCTTTCCTATAGTAATGGGCAGCTGGACATCCAAACGCTAGACACAGGTTCTCAAAAAAGACTCCTAACTCTGAAGGCAGAAAAAGTGTTTATTTTTCCAGCAAGGAAACACTGCAGGAAGTAGCTGGACCAGCAGTTTCTATCACCAACTATTCTGTGCCCGCCGGCCACAGATACTGGTTCTTTTAATACCACGTGGTGAAGACTGAAAATTAGTGTAGAGTATGTTTAATTATAAACAGAGGACTTTCACATTAGTGCAGGATACCCCATAAGTGCATCCTCTCTCAAGCCCAATTCCTCAATTTGGGGAGAGCCAATAGATCACTTGGATTCCTGCTATGTATGTTTGGGGTATGGAATAGTAAGATGCTTAATGTATTTGCAAACCACTGGATTTTGCAACTCTCAGTTGTGAGTTTGGAAAGCGGAGAAGATCTCCAGGATCTTTAGGCTTTGCTGCATAACTTATTTGCACACCAGCAAGAGGGGTTTTGCCATCTCCTTCCTCTTAAAGGCTGGTCATTCTCTGTAATCACAGGTGGCCAGGAAAGGGCTATAGGCTTTTCATCGTGCATGCAAGTTTTATCCTTCTTTTCTCTCTCCACGAAAACTTCTCTTTTCCAAGTTCTTTTTTTGCTATTTCTATCAACTCACTCCCTCACATAAAATCCCCCCGAAACGCCCTGGAATTAAAGCATCGTTTGGTTAGATACAGTTTGAACTTTGAAGACAGTACTGTGCTTTGCTAACTTTATTTTACTGAAAATCTTTTGCCCAAGCTGTTTACTGTGAGATTACCTGTTTTATTTGCTTCTGCAGTATAACTTGCTATTCACCAAAAAGTTTCTATTTTCTATTTGCAGGCAAATGTCTAAAAGCATCTTTACAAAAATTGCCTTTGCTATCTTGGTCTAAGCAGTGTTAATTAGTAGTTCATACTGGTTATCGTAGCTGCAGCAAAATGGAAGTGTTTCTAAAGTATTTGATCAAAATTCAGCTTAGATTAACGTTCTTGAAATTCTTGAAAGAATAAAACTCTTTGCCTTGAAGAATCAGAGCAAGTGCACACAGAAGGGATTCAACCGTATAAGGCAGGCTTGTCAGAGTGAATATTTGTGGAAACTATTCTGCAGTCTTGGTTCAAATTTACGTATAATTACTCCTCAAACTTTTCACTTAGCTCCCTCTTAATATGAAAAAAAGAATCTTTGTAAAAGAAAAATGTATTAGCAAGTAAAAATGCTCAAAGTGTTAGACGCATGACTAAATTGAAATAATTTAACTCTATGAATAATTAGAATAGATTTTATATTATCGTACTTAACCGGCTCCTTTTCTAGTCATGGTGTTTGAAAGGAATAGTTACATCTATTATCTTCAGTGGTCTTCTATTCTTGTGCTAGTTTGGACGGAAGGAGCTGAAGTTTTGCTTTTGTTTTTACTGCCATACCTTTCAGTACGGTCTTAGCTGTACAAGTTTTGGGGAGGAAAGAAGAAAAAGCAAAGGGAAATGGGAATAGATGATTGCATACATAGCAAATGCTAATTGCAAGTTCAGAGTGGCATTACATGCAAACTGGCATTTGAAGTCCATTGTAACTCAAAGATTAGAAATCTTAAATATGCAGTGCACTAAATTCCAAAACTCTAATGCAGGGGTGTCTGCTACACACAAACACACACACGAAGTAAAATAGTGCAGTTAGCAATACCAGCTAAAGATGTTAGCAAACCAGTTCCATCAAGAACTCCCCAAATCCAATCATCAGACATGGTGGAAAGATTCCCCTCCTGTAATATTGCTGACATTTGGTTAGATTCCAAGCACATATAAAAGTATTTACTTGGGAAAAGTCTCCTTCCCAACAAGACGTTAGCAGTGAACCTGTATTGAAGAACAAGGGATCATGTTCTCAGGCACTCCAAGCAGTGAGACTTGGTGGGCCAGCCCTACGTGCAAAACAACTGCAGGTGCTTAAGGGAGGACAAGAGAAGCAGGAGCACTGTCAGATTAACCCGCTGGTTTTCAGGGCGCACATTTTAACTCGTCCTAGAAGGCAGCTGTTTACAAATGCAAGTTTGGCAAGTTTAAGAATCATGAGGCAATGGAATCATAAACTCCTTTCCCAAAATTCTCATCTCTTAATCATCATGTTTTTACGAACCTATCAAAAAAAATGCAAAGAAAATCCTACAGCAGTCATCAAGCAAGCTGAGGGTAACAGTAAAGACAAGTCATGTATGGGAAAGGGTGCACATGTATCTCCATAGTTACTCCGTGCTAGGCAAACTGGAGGCTAACAACAGCATTAGAGATAGTTAAAACAGGAGTAGGTTTTCATGGGTAAGGCAAAGTAGCTATGTAACAGTCTTAACATTTCATTAGTATGAAAACTTAAAAAAGAGTTGCACAATATCCCAAATCCTGCTTGAGAATCGGGGGAAAAAAATATTTTAAACATTTTCTCATTTCTCAAGTGTTACTTATTACTGTTTCAAGATTTCGCAGGGCTTCCAAAACACCATGTCCGCATTAACCATCCTGTACACTAGGATGTCTGCTCCCACCCACCCACCACAACTCCAGGCATTCCCCGGGCAGAGGGAACCCTCAACCACATAAGCCTGAACATTCAGCAAAACTCATTAAAAATAAATAAAACTCATTTCTACTGGAGGAGGAAGGGCGGGTGGAAAAGAAAGGAAGATGCACTCACTGTTTGGTTATCCTCATAGAGCTTCAAGTCGTAGCCGCTCAGCTCCACACAGAAAATTATTGCTGTAACCCCCTCGAAACAGTGGATCCACTTTTTGCGCTCCGACCGCTGCCCACCCACATCCACCATTTTGAAAGTCAGCTCTTTGAAGGTAAACTTATTTTCTACAATGCCCGTGGTCATGTCCCGGGAACGGAGGATATCTTCCACAGTAGGGATGTAGTCCAGCGCCGCAATCCTCTCCAGGTCGTTCAGGTAGTAGGCAGCGTTGTCCTCCAGGTGGTACTCGTTGGAGCGACAGAAACACTCCTGCACACCGGGGTCTGCCCACAGCCGCTTCATGACCCCCAGGAGCTCTGGGGTGATCTCGCCCTTGCTCTCGGCCGGGCCCGTCAGGGCAAAAAGCTGCACGGCATCATAGGCTCGGTCGGGATTGTGGAATTCTATCTTGAGCGTGGCCAGAGCCCGGATGATCCGCGTGAGGGAGTCGATGGCGTTGTAGATGATCAGGGGCTTGTACTCCTTGCAGGCCTCCAGGTTGAAGCCGCCACTGTGAATGATTTTCATCTGCTTGACTATCGTACTCTTGCCAGAGTTGCTGGTACCCAGGAGCAGGAGCTTGATCTCCCTTCGCTGCCGCTGACTTTCAGAGCGCAGGTGGCGGTCGATGCGCCGGGACCGCCGCGCGGCCTCTTTCTCCTCAGAGCTTTGCCTACATCCCATGGTACAGCAGGCTGGTGCCGAAGGGAAAGGCAGGAGATTCTCTCAGTTTCTTTGTATCTCTGAAAAAGACCTGCTGTGTCTTTCAGTTCAGGTAAGCCTTGTACAGGAAACAAAAAGAGTAATATTTATCCAACACCTGATGGGCCAAGGGGTCTGTACCACCTAATTCAGCCCCAGCAGAGGAGCAAAACCACACAGATACACAACCGCAGAAATAGTCTTTTCAGTAGCTCTCATGGCACTCCCCTTTCCAGTGCATAAACTGTGGCACATTCCTGTTAATGGAAGGACACGTCCCTTTCCCACCCTTTGGCTACATCGGTCAGATATTCTCTTCTGCTCTGCATAATTATTTGGCTGCCTTCTGTCCAAAGGTAAGGAGCTGCACTTTCACCTGCCCCGCTGCAGCCCTCGTCTTTTGATTGCAGTTTCTGGTTGCTGGGGTGATGCCGCTAGATCAAGCTGAAGATCTTTTCAGTGGTGCTGTGCTTGGCTTGGCTTCTCTTCCCCCACTTCCTCAGCTGATGCAGCTCTCGAGATCTCTACTTTCCACCTGCCAAACACTGAGAAAAGAAATGAATGAAACGAGGCTTCGTTTGCTTGCTGCACACCGCTCACTCTTTCCTTTTCTTCTAGACTGCTCAACCTTTTATTATCTGAAACAGAAAATAGATGGAAAAATATCTAAAGCAAAGCAAAAATCTAATAACGCAGCAAAAACACAGGGACAGCTGAGGCTTGCAGACCTAAGAAAATGTGGTTTCGGAACAATAGTAAATCAAATCCCCTTTTCTTTCCAGCCTTCTGTGTTTTATTATCTAAAACCTACATGAAAACAAACAGTGCTGAGCTGTGTCCCAATTACTGCCTCGGCAAGAGCTCGTGGCAGTGCTTTTCCTGCACAGTCCTGTTCCAACTGGTTCTCCTCAAGTAGAAAACGAGACAGACTCACAACTACTTTTCCCCGTCTGTTTATATCAATATCTGGGATATGTGTCGGACCGCTCTTGCTTTCATCTCTTCCCGACCAGTTTGCTCGCCCTGAACATACTATAATGAAGCAAAAGGAGGGGATTAAGTTTGCTCCGTGGTTTTTGTGAAAGGGTTTGTACATTGAATAGTTGCTGATCTTGGCAGAAAATGGCAACGCACCTTCCTTCCCCTTGGAGAAACAGTGCTGGGGAACATACTACTTGCTTAATGAATAAAGTCATATACCAGCATAACCAACTTCAGCAAGTTGCTTTTCAGCGCAAAGCTGTTGCTATTAAGCCTTTCTTCCACTTTTAACACCGAAATTCTGTGTTAAAGGCAAGCGCTTTAACAAAACGCCCAAGAAATGCCACCTGAAGAAAGGGCTGACAGCTTTGCAGTTAGAGCAATCATTCTTTGCTAAATTAGGAGTTAAGCACACAGGTTGCAGTTCCATGGAAGAAAAACATTACTGCTAACTGATTGGGAATAGCTGGACTCTTTGAGGAAGGGCTTGCTGCTCCCACTAAGCCCTGAGCACAGTAGGAACCAGAAGGCTCAGCCTAACACAGATTGCAAGGCTTCCAGATCCTCAGGTGACGGTCATGGGCTGTCTGCAGGCCCACGATGGCACCTATTCCATGTCTGCTTCACTGTGTCCAAAGCGCCTTCCGTGACATTTCTAGCAGCTAAACTATATGTCATTAACCTCAGAGGCAGACTTTTTTTCCCCTCCTTCCTTCTTAAAAACCAAAGCTTACTAAAGAAATATAATTTTCATTGCTTACATAAGGCTAAGCCTCTTAGTTTCCATTTTCAAACGTGCCCTAGATGTATTTTGAAGTTTGTCCTGCATGAACTTGCTAACATTTGGATGTAGACATGGAAAAGCATTGAAATATGCACTGAAGGAAACAGTTCTGTGTAGCTGCTGAATAATTAGTGAACATGAGTTATTTCATCACTAAAAAGTCATCTCTACTTAGCTATTTGGGAAAAAAAAATGCCGGATTTGAAAATACCTGTTTACCATTCTCCTCCCTCACCTACATCATGGGGCAAGATGCAATTATATTAGCACACAGGAGGACAGGGATTTCATTCCTATTCTAACCACTCTAATCTGCTTGCAAAACATGAGCTCTGTTTACACGACTTCCATTTTGATATGTGTAACACATTATTAATACACACACATTTATTAGGGCATCTTCTCTAGGATGAATTATTACATGTTTTCTAGTATTCTTTTCATTGCTGAAAGTTTCAACTTTTTTTTTTTTAGTAGGCAAAAAGTCGTTATCAGTGATATCCCGCTTTACCCTCCCAGAGGTGTCGCTGTAGCAGAGGTTAATTACAACAAATAATAGTTGTAGCTAATATTTAAACTATTTAAATTGAGATAACGCACAGCAGAAAGACCTCAGGGGGATTCACAGATATAGGTGAGGATAATTACATCAGCTCCAGTGAGGAGCTAACCATTGAGTCAAAGGACTCAATGGTTAAAATCAAGTTCAGCTTTTAGATTTCTTCGCCTCTTCGGTTTATAGGAAGAACCATCTCTCTTAGCACATTTATTCCAGGCTTGGTAGGGAATAACTGCTATAATCTAGGATTTTGTCCCTCAGTCAGTTGGAGGAGCTATATGTAATGATCTCAGCACCTCTGGTTAACAGCAGATATTGCTCTTCTTGTGCTATTTATATATTACATCATTGTTGCATCAGGCTACCCTCATCTGAGCTTCTATCTTCTGCACAGCTTTCTCTTTCTACACAAAGTAGGTGACGTACAGATGAAGATTGGAGTCCACACAGGTGCTTTGGGATGTGGGGCTTCTGCAGGTACCCATCTCTGGGGTTTTTATTTAGGTGACAGCATCTTGGCACTGGACAGGGGCTGGCAGAGCAATACGGCCCTTATCTGCACAGTTTGTGCAGTGCATACATAAAGGTGTCTGGGAACGTGAAGTACGAGCATAAAAAAGGATCAACAAGATGATCAAGGTTGACTGTTAACATCAGAGGAAAGGTATCTGAGACTGGACAGTCAACAAGCAGTAGTTTTACATTTTTACATCCTGAAGTTTCCTCTGATGTTAGCCCAGAACAGTTGAGGGGGCTGTCACTGGCTCTCCAATACTTTTCTTGATTCTGTTTCTGTTTCCTGATTCTGATTCCTGTTTGTCACACATTATTGGCCTCAATAATTGCCTGATTCTAAAAAAAGATCTGCTTGTATGGGCATAAAATCTCCAGATTTATCATAACTTCTGATATTTTGGAGTGGCCATAGGAGATGGGAACTAATTATACAAAGTATGGTCCCTCACTTTGTTTCCCTGTCCATATCTTTGACGCAGCAGAATAAATAAGACAGTATTAATGTGTGACAAACAGTTTGGTAGAAAGTTGCTTTCAAGCTAAAGCAGGGAATCGGAGTTCCCGGTGACCGTACACGTCCACAGAGATTTCCAGCAATTTAAAGATGGCACTTCAGCAAAACCTCCTTTTCACAGGTTTGCACTATTAAAAGAAAGAAGAGACTTGGGGGAATATGATATTTATCAGAAAACCCCCAAGAGGGTTGACTGAGGAAGTCAAGAGCTCTACTAAGCAACCACAGCTATGAGAGGAAACAAGGCTAATAAGGAATGGGAAGGGAGTTCAGAAGAGCAACCACAGAGGCCCAAACACTTAGGCAATAATTTTATTCTGTAGTAAGTGGACACTAAACACCATATAATAGTAATCTAGGCAAAATTGTTGTTAAAACAGTGGACATAGACATCCTACTAGCATTCTCCTTATACAACTCTTAAATCTGAAAGGAGAAGAACTAAAAGCTTAAAAACAAAAATATATGTGCAAGATTGCATGATTTTCTCTTAAATGGAATCTTTCATATGCAAAATTGGTTGTTAGCCTTCTGCTAGAGGGCTATCTTATTTATGTTGCTTTTTGCAGTTGCTTGAAGCCTTGGGAAATAATTTTCAGTGAAAATACCTGCACATACCTAGCTCTAAATAAATATTTGGGAAAAGTTTTCAGTCCAAATGTCTAGGGCATTTCTGAACACAGTGCTTGGGAAAAAAATTGTTTTGTCCACACTGGAAGCAATTGCAACATTTTTCTTTAAAATTGTGCTATGCATCCACACTGAACTCGGGCTCAGTTAAAGATCCGAACATTTTGACTAAAGTAGAGAACACTTTCACTGAAGGACTTGATAGGTAAGAGCAATTGGTCTGGCATTTCTAGCTAAGGCAAGCAGGAAAGAAAAGGAAAAGACGTGATTTTTATCCTAAGGAAAATCCACAGTCTATATGCACTAGAACACCTTTCCCTCCAAAGGCAAGAGCACAGTGCCAAGTTGCTGAGCCTGATCTTTCCTTGTCTACCTGCAAGTGTTTGTGGATCTCACTGACACCCTCTCTATCTCTCCTCATACAGAACAACCACCTCTTGGTTATTGGTGCTGTTCAATCTTATCATTGAGTGCAAGAGTTTCAGCTTTGCAGAATTACAGATATCCATATAATATGATAGAATTGAATTTATTTTGTTAAAAAAATGAAGAGAAATAAGCCATCTTAGAAGGACATTAAGGATGACCTGCTTGGACACAATCCTGTCCCACATGCTCTAGGTGACCCTCTGTGTGCAGAGAGGTTGAATCTCCAAAGGTCCCTTCCAACCTTAAGGATTCTATGATGAACACTCAAGTCCGTTAAAGTCATATGCACAAATCATGGCAAATATTTTGATTATATATTCATATACTGATCTAATAAACAAACAAGAGGGCAGAGTAAATGAAGCTGTCGCCTTTTGGGCTTGTTTGTTCCAGCAGTTATAAAAGCATGCATCCTGTTAGCCAGATGACTGATGAAAGCAGCGCTAGTGTCATGATTAGAGCAGCTGGATGTTGGGCTGGGCTGCTGAATTCCACCCTCTTTGTCATGGCTGCTGTTTGTGATGTTAATTAACTGGCTGAAACCCATCCTTTCACAGATAATGGTTGCTTGTGGTTTTCCTTTCTTAGACACCCAGCTTAAGATCCTATCTGTGACCCCCAAAAGACCAAGTGTTATATATAATTAGCATCAAGAGTATATGTTTCATGTATTTGAACACTACACAATGCAATGCAGTCTTATAAAGAAAAAATCCATGCTTGATGGCTATCAAAAATGGGGCCCTTATGTCCCTTCCACCTCCCAATGCATTAAAAAGATGAATTAATATTTGTGCAATATATCATGAGAAGAACAGCAAAGCAGTTAATATTCCTTGCACCATCTAGCTAAAATACAATATGCATTAAGACCAGGACCACACACACAACACTGAGCAGATTAAACAAACCTTGCCCTCTCTCTTGGGAATTGTCCAACATACTTCAAGCAGTATCAAAGAACCAATTACATCAGTCAGTGGTATCAGAAACTTATCAAAACACAGTATTTCTTGTGCAAAACATCAAACCTCTACAGCATTAATACCTAGAGCCCTCAGCTGTCATTTCAGAGCTGACCTTTAGACTTCCATAAAGAAGGAAATATTAGAATAATTTTACCATGTGTCCC